AAAGTGCGCAGCTTACGCTCGAAGGTAGCCTCGTCCAGGATCTCGCCGACGCGGACACCGCGGCGTGCGGCCTTGTCGCTGTAGCAGGGACCGATACCCTTTCCGGTGGTGCCGACCTTGCGGCCACCGAGACCCTTCTCCTCGAGACCGTCGACGACAGAGTGCAGGTCGAAGCAGACGTGTGCGCGGTCAGAGACGAAGATGCGTTGGGCGGCACCCTTCAGGCCCTTGGCCTCGATAGCGGCCAGCTCCTTGAAGAAGCTGGGGACGTGGAAGACGGTGCCGGCGCCGATCAAGTTGATACATTTTGGCGAGACAAGACCAGAGGGAAGGATGTGGAAGTCGTAAGTGACGTTCTCGTGGACAATGGTGTGGCCGGCATCTGTATCCAATAGAAAAAGGTCGGTTGGTCAGTCACGGTCGAGCCTCGGGGATGGCCCGTTTGAAAACTTCAACAGATCGCAGTAGAGGGAATGCAAAGCAAGTTGGACGTACTGTGTCCGCCGGCTGCACGGCAGCAAAGTGTCGCATCCTGAGACAGCACGTCTGTGATCTTCCCCTTTCCTGTTTATTCGTTAGTATGTCCAAAGTCTCTGTCGAATTTCGTTCCTGTTACCTTCATCTCCCCATTGACTTCCTAAAACGATTGAAACCATGATTGCACGCTTGAAAAAGTCACAAATTCCGACTTATGCACGATCAATTGCTTTGGATGGTGGGGTAGGATCGAAGGCAAAAGAGAATACGTCTGGAGCCGATAGCGGGGCCAAGATCAGGTTTGCTCGTCTGAGTTTTCTGGGCAAATCGACTAACGATGCTGATATTAGGGATTTGTAGTTGGATATGCAATCAATCTATACTTTACTGACCTAGCGTTTTTTTTTACCAATTTAATCTCTTTTCTCAGTGAGTCAGACCAATTTTCCGCAAACTCCCGCCGTCACAGATCCGGCGGGGTGGCGGAGCTTGGTTGCAGCCTTGGTGCCCTGGTGCCTTGGTGCCTTGGTGCCTTGGTGCCCTGTTTCCGGGATGCCGTGATCTTGCAGCATGAGGCCGCAAGGGTTAGGGCAAGGGCTCCAATATATCCCATGCGTTTCGCATTGTATATTGTCATATTGCATATATATACCAATACACCTTATACAAAAAGAGTTTTTCGACAAATGGTCATTCGTAGACGAAATAGGCCGAGCCTTGGCCTTGATGTTACTGCAGTGTACGGACTCTTACGGCCCCCAGTGGGAATCTGCATGATGCGTAATGTCAACATAGAGATCAAAAAGCGAAATGCCACGTTCTAATTTTCGGTCAGGAATGTGCGGGATCCTCTTACTATCCAAAAATCAATCCAGAGCGTTTAAACTATCCACATATCTCGTGTCAGAAACTCGATTCAGTCGGAACTAGAAGGAACAAACCCCTAAAGTGACAGGCAAAGGTTGGATGACATTCAGGGTCGCTAGCACCCACAAATTTAATGAGAAATACACTAATCGGTGTTTAATTGTGGAAGCATTAACACACATTTTGATATGTAGTTAGATAGAGATTGCTACTCGGGTGTTCTGATCTGGAAAGAATTCATGTCTTGCATAGTGTTATAAAATTCTGAGCGATGGTGCAAATAGTGGATTTCTGTCAATGCCGTCGTGTGACAGACCAAAGGACCTATCATTCATGGGTTCCAAGGCCAAACGCGGTCCTGAAGTTAGGGCTCAGTCACTAGCATATTTCTCGTTATTTTCACAGCCCTCATGCCTTCCCTTCTAGTATCAAAGCCAAATTCATCTTTGAGATACTGTCTTAGGTCTTCCGGCATCGGTAGCTTCTCTGGCATTTGAACTTGAAATTTAACCTAGCTTGGTATGGCTCTCCCCAATTTACCTGCCAAGCTGCCTCGGTTTTTTGGCACCTTGGCTGGTGCCTGTAAAAGTTTGAGGGCTGCATGCTGGTAGGCCAAAGCCACCTATCTATCTCCAGGTAGGTTCAAATAGCAAATAGGAAAATCCGCAGAGTTGGTAGATGGGACTGGTTGCTAAGAAGCATGGTTGGCAATGGTAGTGATTGGAAGCCAAGACAGAAAATTATCTCAGGGGAAGTATGGAGGAGGTTATGGAGATCCTCTAACCAAATATGTACAGAAGTTGGTATGGGCCTCTTTTATCCTTTGTATGTCTCTAGTGGTGTAGACTTACATTTGACGCGCTATTTTAGGCCCTTCTAGTTGTTGTTACTTCGGATAGTTTACACTTGTCAATCCTCTCTTTAGGATTTTGTAGAGATCCGAGGCACTGAGTCTCATTCTGATGATATTTGAAAAGACGCATCTCGATATCGGGCTGAGCCAGCTTCTCACTAAGGTCGATGGTGAGGGTTTTAAGAGAAGAGAGGGTCACTCTATGAGGTCCAGGCTGTTTTTTATAGACTTATTAGAACTCATCTTGCTAATCGGCTTCAATGGGGTATTCCTAACATCTGTACTTGTGCCCCCTGTACCAGGTTGTGTTTGTAGACTCTGCTTGTGAGTATCTAGATTTAGTTCCTGCCTTTTTTGAACCTCGAGGAATTTAGATGGTGAGGATTTCCGGCGCTTCTTATTCTTCTTTTCCTTCCTTCGGTCGTCTTATATTGCCTCTCAGGCACGTGGTGTGGGTTTTTCCCAAGAATCTCCTATTCACTTTGCCATTTTCAAGAGCTGATCTTACATCTTCCTGCTTTTCGTGGGTATTGACGCGAGGAATTCGGGGAGGGGTGTAGGTCTGTTGAGTAAATCGCCTCGAGTGAGCCCCAGGTACTTTGAGTAACCTCTTCAAACATCTCAAACTACTCATTGGACGCTTGCGCCTTAGGGTGTCTTTGGGGGTGAGGTTCTTCGTCCTTGCGGTCTTCTAGATCTTCCCAGACGAAGTGTTCTAGGGTTGCGTTCACGGTCAGAGCTTTGTCCGCCCCAGACTCAAGGTCATGGACTTCTTCGGTCTGTGATAGCTTTTCCAGGGGATAGGGAGGGAATGGTGGTTTCCGCATGGCATGTAAGCCCGAGATGCGATTTGATGGGAGAAGCCCTGGGGGTTATCTCTTGATGACTACATTATCACCATGAGATGTATTCATAATTTGGTGGGAATCATGATTCAAATCTTGTTTCAAAGCTTGATTTTTGACAAGGGAAGCAGCACACCTGTACAGCGACTGTAGGGGTATGACAAGACGTATGTGGTATTCCGGTAGACCATGACCGGCTTCTAATGTTGAGTGGTGCGACCGGGACTATACAGCGAGTATTGGAATAGAGATCATCATCTTACCGAGGCATAACTCAGCATGGTAGACCACTGTAAATCTCATCATACTTTGAATTGGGGGCCATGGATATATGGACTTCTCTTTCACCCCTGTAGATAGATTAAAAAAAATCCCCCATACAGATGTAATGGTTCGTTTCTGAAGCTATGGTAGCCCCAGATGGTGCAGCTGTCAAACAATGTCAAAAGCGCTGATTGCGATTCGGAAGATCAATGTCATCGGCTCATCAGAAATGCGTGGCGATAATTCCAGGTTGTAGTTAGCATTTCAACCCCGATTCCATCTTAGATCTGACGAAGTAATACCATCTTAACAACCCGTGTTTATATATATCAGGTATCCTTTAGCCCAAGGTAAAGGTACATGATCACATGTACACGAAAATAAGGAGATTATCTTATTATGGTACATGTCTCGAATCTGTATGATATTTTGCTTTCAAAACTTCTAAAAAGAATTGTAGCCAATTTTATAACCGACTCAAATAAAACCAAGAAATATCTCTCCCAAAAATATCAAAACCTCCTTTATTATTTGTTGTTATCATTCGCTCTTCAACAAATCAGCCCGGCTAGCTCAATTGGCAGAGCGTGTGACTTTGTAAGCATCCCTCTTCTGATCTTCCCTTTCAACTCAACTAACAATATCCCAGTATGTGTGTTCTCACCATCAATCACAAGGTTCGGGGTTCGACCCCCCGGTCGGGCAACAACTGCCCAGTCATCTTTTTTTTCCTTCAATATTTTTTTTGGTTAATCATCTCTTTTGTTCCGTACTAAAATAGTTGATTCGCGAAACAAACACCTAACAAATCCAATGTTGTGATAGTGCCTACAGCTAAAAAAAAAATTAATTTCCTGGGGTTGGCCTTGCACTTATAATCTTATGATCCTATAATCTTGTTAATGAGTCTGGTCCGGAGAAGAGAGAAAGTTCCTCTCTTTGCCGAGCCCTCGATAGCACCTTCCAGTGCTCCAGTTTCTTCTTGGAGACTGCCTGCTTAGCTTCCACAGACTGACCTGGCCAACACTACCAGTAGTGCTGCACAAATCATACGCCACCTCCCCCCTGTGTCAACCTCCCTGTATTTTTCTCTATGCCCAGAAACTCGACTATGTATAGAATTCTTCGACGGGGAATATCAAGACCACCGTTCACTGCTGGTACTATTCAGAGTGACTGTGTGTGTGCCGTATACGTGGGTCATATCTGCACACATGCAAATCTTTGAAGTATAGAGGAACAAGCACCCGCGGATGACATTCATCATCAAGAGATTGACACCCTACCTGTGTTGCACAGAGAAGCACGAGAGCATTGGGAAAACATGGATTCAATGTTGGTCAAGCTTGAAATACATCCAGACGATCATCTTCAGAGTACTTAAATACAAATCCAGAGAAAACACCGATAATGATGGAACTGATGAAAGGAGTCAGACACATCCATGCAGACGTGATAAAAAAAAGAATCCCGGGTATTCACAATAACACCAAGCCATCCATGCAACGCAAAAGAGAGACCAAAAAGGCAAGTAGAAGACATCAATAGAAGTGAAGTAAAAGAAACAAGAACGAAGACGCCGGAAGGCAGAAATCAGGTCAGATGAAATCAGAAAGCTTCCCAACACGCAAGCTGGAGATGCGGCTTCAGCAATGGGATTCGAATTATCACGAACAGGCTCAGGGACAAAACTCTCAAACCACCTTTCCGCCGTCTCGAATCCATTGTCTTAATCGTCCAAGGTCAAGGATACATTCCCGATGCAGCTCACAGGCAACATCCCAGTGCTTACGCACCTGGATGTCCTCCTCAATGCCACGAAGATATGCACTGAAGCCACCCTTGCCGGTACCGGGGATGAGGAATTCGTCAACGTGGTAATCATCAAGATCCTTCTTTGTCGTGCCGTCAATGCTGTCGTCATCCGCGCCGTTGATCTTAAGACGAGTGGAGTCTCCAACGGCACTGATCCACCCCGGCGCGAGACCAGTTTCGTTCGCTTCTTGGCGCGCATTGAAATGCGTAAGCATGCGGCCGTTGAACGCGTTCCATTCGTGCATGTATGTTCCCATTGCTGAGACGTACCAGTTCCATTTGTCCCTAGGGAGGACGAGTTGTTTGGAGATTGGGGCCACAAAGACAGGTTTCGGGGCCCAGGGTCGTTTGGGGGGATTTGGGAGTTGCAATACGCGGGGGCGGATATCGTCTCTTGTGGTTCTTTGCTGCTTGGCTTGGGATTCGAATGGCAGAGTGGTGTGGATGTCTTCTAAGTTCTCGATGCCCCCGCCGGTCGTATTGGTGAATGGTACGGTGCTGCGAAGGTTATCGAGGTTGAATAGAGGGGTGCGGTGTTCTGCGCTGGGAGTCTTGGACTTCTTGACCTGAGGGGCGTCTGGTACGGCCCGCGAAGCCAAATCGGGATAGCTGCCACTGCTTGACATTCCAGCAGGGACCTTCGGCGGAATACCCGGAGTAGAAAGGTCCTCGTCGAGGTCCATCTCTTCAACGTCCGGCGCTGCTGTCTCGGCTGGCCCATGAGTCTGACCATTGAGAGTTTCCTTAGCTTCGTCTGCTTCAGTAACAACACTTGCGGGCTGTGGAGCGCTCCGCAGGTTAGTACCGGTTCTGGGCTGTTTCTTTGGACTACGAGGCGCAGCGTTTACCGCTTGTTTGGCTTTCTCGATCTCGGGTACAGTCCACGAGAGATTTCGAAGCTGTTCAGACCATGTATCTGCAGAAAACTTTGCCTGTGCAAAGGGCGTTGGTGGTTGCTGTGGTGACTGTGAAGCATGATACGGAGGATTAGGGCCGAAGGGATTTGGAATCGGCGATCCAGTCGAGGATGTCTGGGTAGGTCTGTTTCGGATATTTGCACGACCCCGATTCTGTGAGGCAGGCGATCTCGGAAGTGACTCCTTGCTTGGCGTGGCAGAGCCCATGAAATCGAACTGACCCAAATGATCCCGCCAATCGTCCGCAGAAAACTTCTTGTGCAAGTCACTCGCGCTGCTGCGTCCATAGGCGACAGATTGGGGTCTTTGTGCATTGTTTGCTGGGTCAGTACTAAGACCAGTGTCTGTCAGATAAGGCGAAACAACTTGATAGTAGGTATACCGAACATACTTGACAGAAGAGGAAGAACCTGATGGGTTGGTCTGCTGGTCTGATCGGTACGAGCTTTTTGGGAAAGCAGCGCTGTCCGAGGTGTGTCCTTTGGGACCATCCTTGTCAGCAGGGATACGTTGAATAAGGGGGAGATTCCGAGAAATCGAATGGAGTTCGTAGCTACCATCTGGTAGCTCGACGGCTCGAAGACCATTTGCGAGGGGGAAGGAGATGAAGTCCATACCATTTCCAGGGCTGGCTGTTTCTGGTTTGTAGAAGTCGGCAAACTTTTGATGCGGCCCTAGTCGACTCTTTGGTACAGCCTTCGGTTTGGGCCTGGTCTCTTCCCCTCCACTCGAGCTGGTAGAGTCATAGTTATTGGGATTTCGCCTGGGCGAAGGGCTAGCGCTACGGTATCTCCCAGATCGCCCTGAGGCAGGGCTAGTTTTCCCTATGTGCTCGTTTTTATGGGAAGAACCTGGGGGGGTATGCATGGTTGCGGAACGTCCTAATCCAGTGCTTGAAAAGAAAGTCCTCTCACCCTTGCCTGCCTGGGCGTAGCTCCTACTGGGTCGTTCGAACTCCGGGGTGTAAGAATGGCGAGATTTGGGTTGAGGCGGCTCAGTTGAGGCTGGTTTCTTCGCAGTTGGGGGCACAGCAGGCTTAAAATACTGACTGCTCATCCGTTCAGCCCGGTTGCTGCTATAGGCAGAGGTGTTGCGGGCCATCGGTTCGTCTCCTCCAGCTACACCTGGCGCAAATCCCTGCTTCTTCTTGAAAGATTGTGCATTGGAATGGGAGTTGTGGGCCTCAAAGGCAGACTTAGGCCGGGTGGACTGCGCAGAAGTTCCAAAGGGATGAAGTTGTGCCCCAGGACCTGGGACACCGCCAGTGGCACGACCAGTTGATGGATCGAAGCCCTGCCACCCAGGTGCCTGACCTCCTCTCATGTTATTGAAGCCATGGAATGCATCAGCCCTTGTTTGCGCGTCGTCCTGTTGTTTGAATTGTTGCGGACCGGCACGCGCATGAGATGCATATCGTCGAGCGCCAGCCGATGGGGTATTCGGGGTCGCCTTTGTGTATTGTGAATTTGCAGACGCCGAGGTGGGCGCAGGGCGAGGAGAATAGGTGGGGGGTTGTGTTTTGCGCTGGGTATTTGCCTTAGGTGGTCCGTAGCACTTTCCGTAGCCTGCTCGTAAACGATCGGTGTCGTATTTTAGTCGTTGTGAGGGATCACTGAGAATTTCATTGGCGGCCTGGATGGCTTGAAACTTGGCGTTGAACTCGACTTCTCGTCCTGGGTTCCTGTCTGGGTGGTACTTGAGCGCTTTCCATCTAAGTTAGCAGTGACCACGATTATCCCTTTGTGACATTGCTTCTGCAAAGCTAACCTAGTTTCCTGAACTGCTTCTTGATGTCCTCGGCCTCCGCGCTGGGCTGCAGCCCAAGGTCCGCATAGTAGTCCTTGCGCACGTCTGATTTCACCATGTTGTTCGAGGGGGTTCAGCCAACTTATGCAGTTGTAACAAGATCGAATCGCATAATCGGTGTTCATGTAAATAATCGGCGATCCCACGCATGACCAGTCATAGAAAATCGATCCAAGAGCAAGGTAAAAAGCACGTTGCACGAAGGCAGGGCCTTTTGAACGGGGCCAGACAAGCAGAACAAATTTAAATGCTATGTCCTGCAATGCTAGCAAACCTAAAAGTCTCACTCGCCAAACGTTGCAAAAGGATGCAAGACCGGGTTCAGTTCAGAGGTGGGAAAAAAAGAAAGGGCAGAGCCTCCTTGTATGCTCCGCGGTCTCGGTTGGTTGCCGGTTCCACTCCAAAAGCGCTAGTCAAAGCTCGGTGTGGGAGAAACAGTTCGGAATTTGGTCTTGGGGTTTTCGGCGATTGGAGACCGCGTTTTTCAGTGAGAACGGGGGAATGAAGCGGGGGTAGGTAGGCAGAAATAGGTTGAATAGAAAATTGGAGATTGGAGTGGGCACCTGATGTCGAGATCAGGTAGTTGGGTCTAAGCGCAGATCGGGTGAAGCACCCAACAGAGCTACGGGTTTCTTTTGTGCGGTGAGTCCCACGATCAATGAGTGGAGAGCATTGCAGGTGTTGTGTGTTGTTGGGCTGGGAAAAAAAAGGCGGGAGTGTTTGTTTTGACGCTGTTGCTGCCCGAGGCCCTTAATGTATATCAATGCAAGGCAACCACAATATACTAAAAAATTCTTGATGCTATTGTTAACCCTGGAACTGATTGATTTCTTTCCTTGCAGATCTTGATGTATCAGTATATATCTATATTGATGGCATCCAAAAGCAGGAAAAGAGAATAACCACACGCCAAATTATACAACCCCTGCTAAGCCCTGGCTTTTTAGAAAAAGGCAACAAGAACGAGGCAGGGTAGGGGTATGAAAGGAAATTTAAAGAAGTGACCCAACAAAAAGTAGAAAAAAAAATTCAAGAGAAACAACTCTAGACATCCTAGAGATCCCCCCCAGATGCGCCAGCCCCAGAACCACCAAAGAAAAAGCCCTCCAAAAGATCGTAATTAGGATTCTCACTCCAGTCATGTTGAAAGTCCATAGCCATACCAAAGCCAAGGTCAATTCCAACATTCTGGCCCAGATTGGGACCCAAAGATGGCACAGCCATCATATTGGAATCGGGATTGGCTTCGCCCCCCACATTACCCTGATCTTCAGCATCGGCCGACCCAAAATCCAAGAAACCAAGACTCATCCCTTGCGGACTCTCGCTGTTGGCAGGTGGTAAACCATGAGTGTGAGTATTGCTACCGGGAGAAACACTGTGTTGCGGCGAGTTCGAGTAATAGATCTGCGGATGCGGTTGTGGGGAGTTTGGATTCTCGTATTTGAGATAGTAATCCATCGACAGATTACGTTGTCCATAAGACCGAGAGGACTGGTCTATTTGGAAGTTGGGGGCTATCGATTCTGGTTGAGGGTAAGATAGTCCTCCGGGTCTGCTTTCGGGTCGAGAGTGGTCGGTTAAGGGGGTAACATCGGTGAAGAGATCAGCCAAGTTCATGTCGAACCTAGGGACGGGACGGGATGGGCGTGTCTGTGTCGCTCGTCGGGGCTGCCCTTGTACTACGCGGGGTCGTTGCTCCATAGGCTGCCTTGGCCGGCTGGGGTGGAGTGAGCTCCCGGCATTTGATGTGGCGTGGACACGGCTCATGTCTACCTGTGATCCGAATCCGGTTGTTGAAAGACACATTTGAACGGTTGCTTTGCTCATGCGCTCGAACGCATCTCGGCATGCTTCGGCCGGTGGGCATTTGTGCATCAGGTCGCCTAGAACAGAAGTTGCGGCGAGAACAGTAAAGTCGACTTCATCGAGTGTCTTAGAAAAGCGAATGTTAGAGTGAGAACAAACGTAAAATTCTAGGACTGGGGGTACCTACTAAGTGGCTTCGAACCAAAGGCGAATGCCAAATGGCATATAAAAAGGAGATTCCTAATTTAGCGTCAGTTATAAAGCCACGAAAACGCAAAGAGCAACTACATACCAGCCATGAAAATGTGATGTGTAGCAAGATAGGTATAATTCACCAAGCGTACTCTATGCAATTGGCGATAGATACGAATGACCTTCTGACCAGCCTCGGCAACATTAAGATAGACATGATCCTCCTCGTCACCCTCATCGGGATTTGAAAAGGACGGACTAGAAACGTCATCAGCAGGAGTAAGCTCTCCCGCCAACTCGGCAGGAACTGTCAAGCTCTGCTGGTATAGCAAAATGATAGCTTGCCAGTAATTCAACTCGAGCAGCTCAATAGAGAATCTCACACCCGTTTCGGATCGGGTCGGAGCAGTGTTCTGCCATTCAACCAATCGGCGATGCACATCATAGCGCCACGAGCGGAAGGAGTCAAAGCCCTGGAGGAAAGGGGAAGAAAGCTCAGCGTGAGGGAGAATAACTGCACCAGGGCCTCTCCTCCGCACAGCACGCGTCTGTTGGTATTGGAGGACATCGTGGATCTCAGATTGAAGAAGGCGCAGCTTAAAATAGTGGAATGCGACATGCTTATATGTCGGAGCTCCGTCGGGTGGCGTAAGAAGACCAGACTTAGTAATGTATTGGTCGTCCAGCATAGACGGAAATTCTGTGCTGATGGCCTGATCACTGATGCCAAATGGCCGTCCAACACAGGTGGCTACTAGGCGATCAAAGCTGTAAACACACCACCACAAACGGCGACGGGTATCGCGTACCCATTCGCGTCGTCCGCGTTCACGAGCATCGATCCGCGACTGCGCTTGGTTGCTGTCTTTCGTTGCAGAATCAATTCCCGCTCCATCCTCGTAGTGGAGCCCAAGGTCGACGGCTAAGCGCGTGGCCACACCGACGATATACCAGAGGCCCGGAGCAACGGGTCGCAATAGGGCAAAGCTGGCTAGAAGGAGCACTGCCTGCAGCTCTTCCAATCCGCCAAAGCCTTCGCTGGAGGAGGACCCAAGGAACGATTCCAAATGAATTATTGCGGAGGCATGGTATTCTTCCGGCTGGTACTGATGGCTCGAGAGTCTCGGTCTCTTCGTTCCAGACGAGGACCGGTCACGACTACTGCGATTCTCATCATCCGAGCCTTGAGGCTTATCCTCGAAAATGATTCCAGCACCAATGGCAAACACGATATTAAGCACATAAAGCGCGCGCGGAGAACGCTTCTTCTCTTCTAACAGATATGTCTTATCCAGCAGCTCCATGAAATCTCCCCGGTGGAGAATCGGCATCTGAGGATTCGCGTGTTCAAAGTAAAGATCAATAAGCCGTTCAGCTAGCTCTCGGTCAGGGAAAGTTGCACATTTCATCATCGGCCTTGTCTGCAGCCCGAAGAAGGAATCGCGCATGCTACTCCCTCCACCAGCAATGCCAGCAGCACTCTGAGGCAATCGATCGCTCGTTCGAGTTGCTGCACGCTCCGGCATGTTACCGGGGAGTGAGCTCCTCACCGCAGCAAAGACAACACGGGCAAACGAAATGCCCGATGTCGAACCCAGATATCGTGGGTCGGAAGTACCCTGTACAGAGACCATGCCAATGTTCGAAACCAGATTATGCAGGCGCCAATTATCCTCGTTAGCGGGGCCGTCGTCCGCATCGCGATTGTTCCCTTCCCCTTTCCGCTCCGACCGATCGGCATCTTCTTTCGTTGTATTCCTCCACCGTGTGTTCTCTGCCGCAAACACCTCTCCGGCCTGAACGTTAGATCCGGAACGAGCTTGCGCGGCGTCGCCATCAGCCTCGACCTTGACAGCCTCCTCCTCGTCGAAAGCGACGACCTTTTTAAATTCAATGTTGTTCTCCGCCAATTGCTGTTCGAGATGTGCTACGCGCGACTCCAGGAAATAGACATAGCTGCGGGGAATCTCCCGCTTTGTAATGGGGTCGTATCCGACGCAGCGCACGCCGGCCTTTTCACAGGACTGGCAGCGCGGGAGGCGCTGGTCGCAACGGTTCTTGCGCAGTCGACAACGGTTACAGGCGGAAACATTGCGGAATGAGGATGAAGCGGACGAGGCGGGGGTACTGGAATGGGCGGGTGAGGTGGAGGGCACGGCTGCCGGGGCGGAGGGTACGGCTGTCGGGGCGGAGGGCTTGGGAGCGGTATTGGTCGTGGGGTCGGTTTGCGTTAAGGGAGTGTCGGATGGATATGGTCTCTTCTTGCCTGAAGAGACTGGTGATGACGGCGAAGGGGGATCAGGCATTGTGAGAACCGAGAGACGAGAGCCGCAAAGTTGCGATCATTTCTTGGCGGAGTTTTGCGGAGACTGCGGTCGGGAACTGCGATTTAACTTCCCATGCCAACTTCATAAGATCAGGAAGTACTTTTGATGTTCATCTATGATAGTGTTTTCTTCGGCAAATAGATATTCTCGCAGCAATCAAACCGCGATGAAAAAGAAAATGGCCCGAAACACGGATTTGGGAGCAGCTTGTTAACCCCGAATTAGATTGTCCTCCGAAGAAGTAATTGCAATATAGGGCCATAGATGAGCCCTATGAAAAGATGGGGAAGAGAAGAAACCATGTAGTCAAGAAATTTTGGTGGAGTTGGGAAATCGAGTTGCCCTCGGGAAGACGCATTCCAGACTTTGACATGTCGAGATCTCTTGAGCCGTCTGGATTCCAGTTCAACTTGGACAGGACTTTTTGCTTGGAGCTTGGAGCTTGGAGGATGAACCTGATACAGCTTCATCTGGGAAGTTTGGTGGACCTCCCCCACTCCCCGCTTTCAGTTGTAGAATATAGCGGCATTGGACAAATGGGGGATGTATAGCACGGGGAGAACAGCGAGCGGAATTATGTTTAACGTGCGGCTGCTAATTTAATCGCGCTAACGTGAGGGGATATTTTCCTAACTGGACACCGTCAGGAAATACATGTCCCTGGCTTTTCGTGAAACCAATTGTGTGGAGTCCAGCACGAGACTACAAGTCTACAAGACTATGAGATGGTCAAGGATGGTAGAGAAGATGACGGCTGCTATACTGAGCAAGTCTGTAGCAAGATACTCTAACCGACTGACACACGAACTTCGAGAGATCCCAGCTCAAAAGTGAGAACCTCCCCCCCCTCCCCCCCCTCCCCAAAGAATAGCCTCCCAGATGCACATGAATAGAGTCGTAATATAACCTGCTGATGCTCCCAAATGATAAGAAAGAAAAGAAGAGACCCAAATGTTATGCTTCCACATATGCAATGCAACCATCTATAATTGCGCCGTTTCCCGGTCTCAAAGAAAAGCCATGAGAATGAAATAGCAAAATGAGGTATCATGATGACGGAAAAGACGAAAAAGAAAACAGGGAACGAAAAAAAAAACATTAGAAATCCGCGTTGCGCCTCAGCGCTGAAATGAGCATGCCTTTCCAGAAGGATGAAGAGAAAGAAAAAGGTGATGGTGCGACAGGCAAGCTTCACAGTATTAGACATTGGTATCGTTGGTGACATCGCCCTGGGGATGGGGGATATTATCGATGGCATTCAAGTTGAGTTGCGAGATGTCGAAGTCATGGTCGACACTAGAGCGCAAGGAAAGCAAACGTTGCTCTTCCTCCGGCAACTCGTAAGATTCCTCATCCTGGTTGTCAAAGTCCGAGAGGGCTTCACGCTTCAACTCGGACTCGCTGACCTCAGGCTGACAGGTCTTGAAACGTTCAGGCTCCGGGGATTCCTCCATCCAGAAACTTTGGATGGCACCGATTAGGCAGACAAGACCACAGGCCCACCAAGCCAGCACGGAGTATCCACTATTGAGGCCCTTGGAGTGGAGAAGACCGGTTATGGTCGGTCCAAAGGCCCGGCTGAGACTGGCGGTTGAAGCGGCAACGCCGTTGATAGAGCCCAGTACTTTAGAAGACGGGGCGGCATTGGCCAAAAGGATGGCGGTGGCTGGGAAAGCGATGACATGGAATGTGATCTTGCTGATCAAGGACACATAGACAGCAAGCATTTGGAGCTTGGACGGAAGAAGGACAAGGTAGGGTACGGCCAAGTAGAGAGGGGGCCATACAAGCAAAACGAAGCGGAAAGTACGCAAAGTACCAAAACGCTTAACCACAAATGGGAACAGCCACAGTTGGGCGATCATCGAGTAAACGCCTTGCACGGCGAGCATAAACCCGATGGTCTTCGTGGCCATTCCCAGGCCTCCGGTAAACTTGAGGGGTAACACTACGTCATCATCGGATCTCGGTGTGCTCAGTAGTACCGGCATCAGCTGATCAAAGGAGACACTGTGGCTGAAAGAGGGCAGTGCATGTCAGTTAATTGTTCAAACGAAATGGATAAAAGAGTGTGGTGTTGAAGAGCGGGGGAAGGAGCCAACTCACTATGCAAGAATGCCGTAAGCAACGATAGTGAGGATGACTTGTCGGGTAAAGGCCTTGGGCGCGGGGCTCTTTTGCCCCTCCAGGTCACAATCAGCCGAAGCGCCATCCTCAACGGGTCGCAGGCAAGGCGATGATTCGGCAGTTTCGTATCCAGGCGGTGCATCAAGGTACTTTTCCTTGACGTCCACTTCGGAATCATCGGGAAGTTGCACGCGCGAGCCCCAGGACAGGTTGACCAACCAGTGGCCGAGTTCGAGACCGGGGTCACGACGGTGCTTCTTCTCCGGGTGCGTCTCCTCCAAAAACAGAAAACCGACTACGATACCGCAAACCAGCACGGTGATGCAAACAAGGTTGGGCAGCAGGAACGGGAATTTATCCCACAGTGTGCGGCGCGCAAAGAGGGCTGGGTAGTTGTCGCAAGGCTGGGCCAAAGCGCCGCCCATAGCCGGTCCAATGATCGATCCCAGACACCACACGAAAGGCATTATCGAATAAGCTCGCGGCTGATGCTCTTTTTTCGTCACGATCTCCGCAACCGTCGTCTGAAGAACACCGATGTTCCCGTTCAACATGCCGCCCAGCGCGCGCGCAACCATCGCCGTGGCTAGGTTGGGCGCAAATCCAAATACCACCATACTGATGGTGGTGCCCACGAGGCCCATAATGAGGACGGGCTTGCGACCAATCCGATCACTCATGCGGCCCCAGAACATGCCCGCAGAAAACTCAGCAAAGGTGAATGAGGAGGTGATCATGCCGGCGTACAGGGCGATTTGGCGGTCGTCATCTGTCACATGGAATGATTCGACCATGTGGTACACATATGGGAAAATTGACATGAAAGCAATTGGTTCACAGATTCGAACGAGTGCTATATCATATTCGTCAGCAAATAAGATCACTTATGGTTCGTGTAGATGTGGGTTGCGGCGCATTTTGCGGCTACCGTATTTCTTCTTGATTTTTTTTTATAGTAGAACAAAAGTACCACACTTACCTAACACAAACAGTTGCCGAATTGGGAATGTAGAGAATTCATCGCCAGAGCCATTGCGGAAGCGTCGGCCCTGTAAACAGGCTGGTCGTTGAAACATCGTAGGGTTGGAATGAGCTAGAAGCAGACACAAGGGAATTTCAAGAGAGGCTTCTGGGACACCCCACTTCTCTTAAAGATTGTATGGCTCAGAAAGAAGGGGGAAAAAAGGTAAGAACAAGGTACCAGATTAAAGGTGCTTTTGATTCTTTAATTTCCCCAGAGTCCTGAATAAGAGGGAGAGAATGTAATAGCGTTGTTGGAGCAAGGAGCAGGGTCTTTTGGTTTTAGGGCTTCAGCATTGCTCCCCCTGCGGTTGGAAATTCTATCAAGATCCGATGAGGTAGGGTGGATGATTGTATGAGACACCTGTAAGGGAGTCCGGAGAGTTTGTAGAAGACAGAGGCTCGGAGGTTCTGAAGAAGAGAAGGATCTATAAGTCCAAGGAAGAGTTAAGTTGTCAAGAGTAGATAGAAGAAAGTCCAAGGGAAAAAAAACTTAGGGAAAGGGGAAGCTATTAAAATAAGAAGTTTGACAGTGGATAGGTCTATAGAAATGATCAGGCGCCCAAGAACTAAAATGTCAACCGTTCAGCATCACAACTAGACATTTCGGTTACAGCTGTACAGGATGCAGTTGGCAAACATTGGATCAGGATAAAGACGAACGAAGTGGGTCAGATTCTCTTTTATTATTGTAATTCTGTGTTTTGTTTTATTTTATTTTCAATTTTCAATTTTAATTTTAAAAATTAAAAAAAAATCCTTTATTCTATTATGTGGATCTGAGGTACGAAGTACGGAGTAGAAACCTGACATTTCCGTACAAGAAGAGTAGGGGGAAGCGGAAGAATCCCCCCGGAGGTAAGGAAAGGGGGTGGATCCAATAGGAAGAACTCGGTATATCGTCATTCTTTTTTTTTTTTTGACATATTTGATTTATTGGATATTTGATGTTTGGCTTAGGTTATTTCGGATTTTCCTTTCATCGGGGGGAGAGGGAGGTTAGTATCCTTGAAATGCTAAGATATTATACAAGAGAAAAAGGAAAACATATTCCAATGGCGATTAATCAGATCAGATTTCGAACTGTAACACCAGCACAGAAATATAGTGAACATCTACATGTCCTAATTTAATTTGTAAGAGAAAAAAAAAAGAAAGTTTATCATCTTTGATTCGACAGATCCATCCCCCAGATCCAACAAGAGATGGAAAAAAAAAAGAACAAAAGAACACCAAAATGATTTCCTCGAGACCCACGGTCCTGAACACCGGGCCCCCGGGGAACGGCATTAGGCCAACCCTTAGTCTCTTGGTAGGGGGCGCTAGACGATACCTCACCCGTATAGCGTAAGGTAAGGAAGATCAAATTTTTCTTGTGGTTCCCAGAGCTTTGGTTTTAGTGCAAATTAGTGAGATGATAGATCTCGCCTTTTTAGCTCCGCGATATCTCTGCGCCTCCCCGAGACCTACAACATATGTACTAGCATGAACCTACTTCGTACTTCGTATATTGATGGGGACTTTAGAAAAGGGTCAAATTCAAGATGTCATTAATTAAACGATTTTGAAATTTTTTTTTTCCTTCCCCTTTTCCATCTCTACAACCGTAATGCACTCCGTATTCACAGAGACCAAACATCATGTCGTCATACTCTCCACTCAACGGAAAGGGAAAGCTAACTTACCCACCCTTCCCAGATGGCCGGGATGATCAGGAGAATCTGTACGGAGCACAAAGTACGGACTACTTTTCGAATAAGTTGGGAACCCACTGATTGGGTTGAAACAAAGGTGAACCATGTTTAGGATATACAACTGGAACAGGATGCGGTGTACGGGAAACTCTAGCCAATGTTTGAGCGCCATCCCGTCCACTGTCTCATTGTTGAATGGTCAACCCCGTTTTCAAGTCCCCCAGAACCCAAATTTCATAAAGTGTTTCTCTTTAATCCCGCCATCCCGGTACAGATGGAGCCAATTGAGTAGAACCGGCAGAGAGGGAGAAGGTAATGAAACACTCGGGGATTCGATGATCATCCTAGTAGAATACACACCGTACCAGTAAAATATACTCTCTGGGCACTATATTGTGGATTTTTGAGACCTTCGAGAAGACTTCGGAGAATCAGCTGAGCTTGTCAAAAATTCACCGACACTCCCGAGCCCTATCTATTGGCCGTTAGACGTCGATCGGCAAAAGGGGAAACCAATGCCGCCCCTTTCCCTCCCCCTTACAATTGTCCCAGAGGATATCAGCCATTGGGGCGAAGTTAGGTGGATAGCTCAACCGCAATCCCACTCGAACTAGATTCTTGTTCCCTGTGCTCCGTACTCCGTACTCCGTATTCGGTATTCTGTATTCCGTATGTGCTTTTTTTTGGAACTTTCGATCTCTAAAATGCAAGTGGAATCAAATTCAAAAGTCGGTAAAGTGCCGACCCAACAAGAAGGGACTGCATAAGACCCAAGGGGCTGGGAACAAGTGGGACCATTGTGTTTATTCGACACAATGTCTACTCCGTACATATGTACGGAGTAGAGTACCTTATATACGGAGTACTCTGTAGAAGAAAAACTAAATTTTGCTTTGGTTTTATTCTTGCTGTACGACAGAAAAGTTGTCTGGGGCCACGCGAGGGAGTGGGTAAAAAAGCCGGTGAGAAGTCATGAGAAGAAAAAAAAAAAAAAAAGAACGTCATACTTGAGCATGGTTTAGCGGCTTGAGCCTCTCAGGGGTGCGCCCAGTAACTAGAATATGCCAAAGGAGGAAAGTCAAGGAACGGTGTGAGCAAGAATTGTAAACACGACTGGGGCTCCTGCAACCTGCAAAATTCCCCTTGACGTTTCTTTTACAACCAGTCATACAAGATGTCGGGTCGTGATGTTGCTTTTGGTCCTCGGACAAACAAAGCGATTAAGAAGAGTCACTCGATTTGAAAGTAGGGTGATCGTGCCCAGCTGACAGTGGGCCAATACAAGCTCTAGGGTCTGACAGGGTGTTTGACAAATCCTTCCATGCATGAAATACCGAAAAACGTCGATCACAATGCATGTCTCCCTGTCGAGGAGACGATTGGCTACAAGGGAGGTGGGAGCGCTTGAACAACGGCAATCGTTGAGATGTCCGACACGCGAGTCGCAACCCAACAACTGAAAGAGCCCGACGTATTTTGACGCGGATATAGCGGTGACTGTTCAGGAAACAAAACCCGTCATCTTTCCATGCATCACGCGACGATGCACTACCGTGGCTCCGTCAACAAGAGTCGTGTCTACCTTGATATCCATTCGGACTGTTCGGAAGAAGGATTGCAACCCAACGGCCGGAAATTATAGCCTACTTTTTCTTTTTGTTTCATGTATATTGCAATTCAAATCGGGACGGAGATCATGTGAGTGGGCTGCCATTTTTCTACCCTGCAGCCAACCGAATCATCCATGTATGGTGGGGTAGAAAGAGCCCCTGCTAAAATCATTCTTCCGATTCTCGCCAGTTTGGAAGGAGAGGAGGAGAAACGTAGATGAAGTAACCCTGTCTGCATCAACAACCTGGGTTTGATTATAGCGGGTGTCAAGCGGTGTGTCTCTTGGCTGCATTCTGTTGATGATCTGCTGCAGAGGGGTCCTTTGACGTCTCGCCTCAAATTCTCCCTCGGGTACTTGTCCCTGGCATCCCATGAGTCACTCGGTAGACTGCAGGCCCTACATGGGTATTGTTCTCACAGCCCCGTCATTTGCGTCTGCACCGCCGGTAAGCTGTCCGACTGTGATCGTCGAGGATTTTCGATGGCCTTGCGATTTGGACTGACATTGCGTATGTAGCCCGTATCGACATCCAGACCTCTGCAATTATTATTGCCCAAAATCAAGAGGTTTGCAAAAGACGGTGAAGCGCGTTACAAGTCAACAAACGCCGTACAGAGAGAAGTCATACCTCATGACACCGACTTCTCCGTGATCATGCTCTTGATATCGCCCTAGATCGGATTCGCTAGCTCTGCCAAGATCTCACTGTGCCCTGCTTGGTCACAGCTTACGGCATAATGCAGCCCGATCGGCTCAATTCGTGCGCAATTTCATATACGTTCATTTACCAGCTTTAATCACATTCCGTATGATCCCCTCAGTGTTTCCATCATTCCATAGTGAAGAAGGTTTTACATCATGTCGGAATAATACGCCTCAACACTTCCTGATCGAGACCAAAACAGAGAGCGGGTTCAGCTTCCACAGCACACTGTCTCTGCCTCGTCTGTCGCGCAGCCATGACGCGCAGATCCTACACTTCCGCTCTAAGGACAGACACAGCACCAATGATGACCGAAGGGGCTTGTCGGCCCACGGATCCGACTACCCACGAACCTGACCTACTTGGCAAGATACAATGCCCCAAAGGATACAGCTGCGTTTTCAAACACCGCGTAGATCAGTCGACTATTTTTTTTTGCAGACAACGCTAACCCATCCCAATCCAGACACAAGGGTCCTTGATCCACACTGGACCGCAGCTGCCGCACAGTTTGGTCGGGTTCTGACAGTCGCAAGATCCCGGATGGCTGAAGCGTGGCGCGGATTGCCCCTCAACGATCAGAAGACAAAATTACATCCAGTCTGCAAGCGGAAAATGCTTCCTGGCATATAGGAAAGCTTTCTTTTGGACGTATCTAAATTCTAAATTGGACAGAGACCTCAGGCAAAATTGCCACGGAGACTGAGATGCTTGGACTTTTTTCGATGCGGCCTCCTTATCTGTGCAATGATGATTGACGGGAAG